GAGTCAACTACAAATAATAAAAGGGGGGGACCCTCAGCAAGGGGCTCGGAGGGATTCTGGGTTGCTCAACACATGAGGGGGCAACAGCCTATGCCCCATCCTGCACACTCCTCCTTCAGCTGTCCCTGAGCTGTAGCATTTATTTTTATTTTTAATTTGTTTTCATTTTTTAATTATCTTCCTTTTTCTTCTTTTTTTTCAGCATATTATGGGGGTACAAATGTTAAGGTTACGTATATTGCCCTTGGCCCCCCTCCATCCTCGAGTTGGAGCTTCAAGCGTGTCTATCCCCCAGTTGGTGCACATCACACTCATTATGTATGTATATACCCATCCCCTCCCCACCCACCAGCCCAACACCTGATAAATGTTATTCCTATAAGTCCACTTAGATGTTGATCAGTTAATACCAATTTGCTGGTGAGTACATGTGGTGCTTATTTTTCCATTCTTGGGATATTTCACTTAGTAGAATGGGCTCCAGCTCTATCCAGGAATATACAAGAGGTGCTATATCACCATTGTTTCTTAAAGCTGATTAGTACTACATGGTACACATATACCACATTTTATTAATCCATTCATGTACTGATGGGCACTTGGGTTGTTTCTACATCTTTGCAATTGTGACTTGTGCTGCTATAAACATTCGAGGAGCTGCAGCCTTTATAGACACAGCAAAAGTGCTCCCGACATTCTGAGAGCACCACTGGCAAGTTCTCTAGTCCCCGGTGTGTGGCTAGTGGGTTGGGCATCGGAGAGACACTTCACCATGGCACTAGTGGGAAGCAGGTCAGTCTTGGGGGCTGAGCCCTCCAACTGCAGGGCTAATAAAATTCATTAGCTTTTTTTTTTTTTAAATGACTGGAGGATATACTCTAAAACTTCATAGTTTTCAGGTTGAAAACCATGTAGAGTGAGGCGGCATAATTTTTTAAGGTTGTATAATTTAATAAATGATATAGTGACAATACTCAGAATATACATGTCTCAAAGGTTCACTGCTAGAGACAGAGACTATTACGCAAGAATTCTTTGTGGCCAGCCAAGACCAAGGTCTTTGAAATGACTCTCAAGGAGAGAGCAACGCAGGTGGCCCTGTGGTGGCTGAGACGCTTTAGTTGGAGCTGAGGCAGGAGCTAGGTTTTGGTAATGAGATCACAACAAGCTTGAGGGCATCTGACTCCCCACCTCCTCTGTCCAGATTTGACTAAAGACTTCGTTCCCCACATGTGCTGATTTCAGACATTTAACTCTTTTCTTTACGATAGACACATGTGTAGTGGTGCCTGTGTTCTGAAAATATGATATTTCATCAGAGCAAAAGGCTCCTGGTGCTATAGTTTTGTGCTATGCACCCCTGAATTCCTGCCAATAAAGAGGAGGTAGTAATCAAATTCTTCACGTGCATTAGCTGCATTTGCAGAGACATCGATCACTGTTGCTGAAACCGCTCCGTGGCCATGAGAGCACGGCCCTCATGGTCCATTCAAAGACTCCCAGGTTCCTGTGCATGGGGCCCTGCGAGGAGGCACAGGGAGGGACTGAGCCCCCCGCACCCTCAGCTCCCCATTTCTCTGCCCACATCCCCATCCTCACCTCCTGTTTGGGCTGCAGCTGTTCCTGGTATTCACATCTGTAGTTTATGTGAGTTCTGACCCTGGTACCTGGGCTACACATCAGCCCAGCTAAAACCACTGTGATGGTTAGCGAGGCTCAGAGACCCGCAGCATCACGACTTGGGGCTTCCTGACCAAGGAGCCTGTTCCTTGGAACAAAAGCACGTTCCCACAGCCCAGCAGACATTCGTGCCCATAGGCTTTGGGCAAAGGATGGATTTATGTTCATGCTGTGGAACAAGCGCCTGAAGAGAGACAGACAGGAGGCCAACCCAGGTGCCCACAGCCAGTATGTTTCTCTTGTAGAGGCGTCCAACCCGGAAGCTGCTGGGATTTTAACTCCCTTTTACTGAGTCAGCCGCCGATAGCTGCTCTGGATTAATTGCAGGGCTGTTTGTTTCCACGCTGACATTCTCAAAGAGGCCAGATATGGAGATGGGGTGCGTGTCTCAACCTTGGGGCTCATTTGCTGTTGCGAAACTCCCTCACCTCACCCATGAAACAGAAGGAAGGAGATCTGATACCACCATCTTCTCACGCACCGGTGTGTGGGACATGTTAACGCACCACACAGCTGTGAATTGTGGCACTACCCCACTGAAAATGCGTGCACACCCCCCATGTGAACAGCACGTCTGAACAGACCTTCGTGGCTGCACTGGCTGCTGGACACAGGCTCCTCAGGGTGCAAGAACCTAAGCATGTCAGGCTGAGTAAATGACTGTACGGTGTAGACACAGGCATCAGAGAGTCATCTGGGGACAGTATGGTTTTGACATCCAACGCGAGCATCTAAACCACCTGGAACAGCCATCAGCACCTAACGCTTGCATTGTGAAAGGTCCCCTGTTTCATCTTCTGAAAATCTCAAACCCTGTTGGACAGTTTTACATTTTCAACCTGCTTCTCGGCAGGGGTAACTGGTTCTGCCGTCCACACCCTTCCCAAGCCTGTATTTTAAAAACTAGGCTTTTCATCATGAATTACCCCTTGAGCCATAAATGCTAGAGAAAGGCATAACAGAGGCATTAAAAGTTTAGTCTCTTAAAACCAGTGTAGGGCAGCCTGGACTAAAGTCAACTTTGCAAATCAAACGTATGGACAGCCCACAACGTGCTCAGCTGCTTGCAGTCAGCATCCTAACAAAGCACACGGGAGGCAGTGAGATTTTCAGAACCTTCCAGAACCTCCACAGTAAAAGCCCACAAGACAGGGAAGGCTGAGAGAGATAGGCACCTGGGAAGGCAGGGAGGACCCACACTGGGGGACAAGTTGGGGACAGAGCTGGGGACCGAGCAGAGGTGCTGGAGACGCCCCACCTGCAGACAGTCCCATGGTGGGGGAGCCCACATAGATGGCAGCGGGAGCCAACCTCGGTTGTCCCAAGGGACGCACAGGTGGGCAGAGGCTCAGTGCAGGATGGCGAGCAGTGACCCAGCGGCAGGCAGGACTCAAGGAAGATGGTGCACTCACCACCGTCCCTGTGTCTGCCCTGGCCCCTACCACCCTGTCAGGTCTCAGGGTGTGTGGCGAGGCACGGACGACGCTGGCATGCAGGAGGCACCCATAGTCGGTGCCACTGCCTGGACCATGGGGCCATGGCACTTCCCCTGGATGTGAGGGCAGGGCTACCCAGGAATTGCCTTCAGTCTTACAAAATGGATGCTTCACTTTCTACACATCTGAGTTCTGGAAAGTTCACAAAAACAATTTTAGAAGCTACTTCAATGAAGTGGAAATGGAGCTTAGTGAGCCTGTGAGTTGTGTATTTTTGGCGTTGTTCGAGGTTTAGCAGATGGTTTGGAGCAGGAGGGAAATGAGCAGATAAACCCAGCCAGAGGGAAAGTGAGGGGATCGAGTCTGCTGCACGCAGGTGTTTCACCTGCTGGTTACCTTGCTTAGTCCACCAAGACCCTGCACGCAGGTGTGCGACCCACTTGTGCAGACCACAGGCCTGGGCTTCAAGACGCGGAAAGAGCCAGCTAAAGCCGCAGGGTCCACTGGTGGGACCAAGGCCACCCCGCGTCACCTGGCTCCGTGGCCAAGTTCCTTTCTGCTTTCCTCACATTTTAACTGGAAAACCCATATTTATGAACATTAAAAGTCCTTGCCTTCTAAGCCACATACTGAAGTCTGTTTTCTTCAAGTTGTAATAGCATATAATCTAGCTATTCATCGCAAATTGTTAAAATACATAAATTCAAATAAATATAAACACTGATTTTCATATTTTCAAATCACGTCATTGAAATGAATAATTTCTCTGTAGTTAAGCAGAACAATTAGCATGAAATGATTTTAACTACAAGATGCTGGATTTTGGGGTCAGGGGATGCTGCTAAGTCCTCATGGGCATAGCCAGCTCACACAGGTGGCGTCTCTTACGTTGACGTCTGGTTATGCCTCAAAGAGCCTTTTATAAACCGAAACTCAGTACATAAAGGACACAGAAATATTAGTTTTGCTGCCAAATCAATGTACAACAGTATAAAATTCTAACAAAATAACTATTAAAATATCTGAAATAAGTGTTTTCTGTATCTTCACTAGAACTAACCGTTCCTTCCAGGATAAGACAACTGAGGACAAGGAACTTAAAGAGAAATGGTTTCGAGCAATGCAAGGAGCTTCATGTAAGGGATGAAGGCAATTTGGAGAAATCCCTGAATAAAATAAAAACAGATTCCAAATCAGCAGTTCTAGATATTTGTATCTGGAACTGGGTCTGAAGCACATGTGTGGTGGTCTGGTTGTGTGTGAAACACACTTGTGTCCTGTAACCTTTTCTGATTTGCAAGCTCTACTGGGAGTTTTAAAGAAGGATATGGCTGTCTTTAATTCCCAGAAGAAAGCTGATCTGATGGTTGGGTTGCAGGATGTCTGTAACCAACCCACCCCTGAGTGAAGTGTCCTGCAGAGGAACCCGCAGAAACCCTTCCTTCAGCAATGTCACTGAACTACAGGACGCTGAAGTAAGTGATTTCCATGGAGACATCTGCAAGGAGGGGAGAAGATAACGAGGGTGTCCCTACATAGCTACTCCACGGGGACAGGTGCCTCCCCACACTTAAAGCTCCCACGGCACCTGCTCGTCCTGAGCTGGTTGGACCACAGCCCCACGCTCACGAACACTGCTTCCTGTGTCCCTGTTGTCACCATCCTCACTGGCATTTTCCTTACTGGCACTCTGCAATGCTACCTTCCTCTGTCCACGTGGGTCATCTGACTCGACTGGAGGAATTCCGTTTCGCTCACAGTCCTGACGAATTTCTTAGTGAAGACTCTACACACTCGCTGCATGTGTTCGTCTGGGTTCTCCAGAGAACAGAACCAATGGGATACATAGACACGTGAGAGGGGACCCATGTTGGCAGAGACCATGTGATTATGGAGGCGGAGATGCCACAGGACCTGCTGTCTCAAGCTGGAGGCCCGGGAGAGCAGTGATGCATCCAGACCAGTCCAGGGGCTGAAACCGCAGGGGCGTGGGTATAGGTCCCAGAGTCCACGGGCAGGAGGAGAGGCAGGTCCCAGCTCAAGGAGGGAGAGTGGATTCCTCTGTGCCGTTGCTATCTGGGCCCTCAGCACGCTGGTGCCCATCACCCACGCTGGGCAGCGGATCTCCCCAACTCAGCCTACTGACTCAAAGACCAGTCTCTCCCATAAACCCCTCAAAGACCACCCGAGACAATTCTCTTGGCCCCCAGCCCGGCCAAGCTGACATGAAATCCACCATCACACAGTGACAGAACAGCAAGAAGGAAGGTTTCGGAGCACCTTGGTCTAACTCACCTCTTTTCTTGAATCTGTGTCTGCAGAACCTCTCAACTCAGTCTTCACTGAGCCCATTTCTTTCTGTTCTGTTTGTCCAGACACATCTGCGCTCAGGACAATGACTCTCAAGACAGGCGCCTGCTTCAGCAAGGAAAGGGGCCAGGTGTGGACCAAATTCTGGGTCTGAGGTGAGGTGGCCCCTTTCTACGTGTGAGCTCTGCTCTCAGGGAATCACCTGGTGCCTCCCCAGTGTACACATTGAATGTTTATCTCCTTCCACAGCATCCAACCCCTAACAGGTCATCAGAATCAGCATCTGGACCCACTGCTACTTGGCATTCTACCCTCCCTGCCTGTAAACCCCTAATATTAAAATGACAGGTCTCTAATTACACAGTGAGAGTAACAGATGAACGGTCTGTCAGGGAAGAGGCACTGAGTCCACAAAAGTAGGCACTCTCTGGTTTGGATGTCATCAGAAAACCTTGCACTTTCACAAGGAAGTTCATAGCCCTGACTTCCCGGAAAGTCATCAAATGTCTGAGCTGCATTTTCAGAGTGACGGATGACACAGTGTTGGCTCCTCCAGACAATAGGTTTGAGATTTCAAATTGCTGAACAGTCAAAGCTGCACCTGTCCGAGCCTGACCACACTGCACCAGTGCAGAGGTGCAACTCAATCGCGGATGAAGAAGGCCGCTCAGCAGATCCCTGCAGGAGATGCCCCACTTGGACTCCCCGGCTAGATGCTGGCGCCCTGATTCCTGCAAGCATTGCACAAGGTGCCCCAGGCTGGCAAGGAGGTTAGATGGGGAGCTGATGCTCTTGGGGATGGGCAAGCTGTGAGTCCGGAACAGACCGTTCACCGGATAAGAACATGGACAGATTCCAGCGGGAAGAGGACACTGTCGGACGTTCCTTAGAGTGAAGAGATGCCGGACTGTCAGGAGGAAGAGGGAACTCAGAAGGTGGCACTGGGATGAGTGGGGCCAGGCGAGTGGGCAGGGCTGCGAGGACACAGGGTCCCAGGATGTGGCTGCACCCGCAGGCTCTGGAAAGCAGGCGCGAGTGGCAGAGGGACGCAGCCTAGACCAGACAGTCCATTGTGATGACTTTATCCTAACCCGGGGGACATCTAGCAACGTCTGGAGACACTTTTATTGCCATGACTGGTGCTTAGTGGGTGGAGCCCAGGGATGCTGTGAAACCTCCCACAATGTGCAGGACAGAAGCGTCTGCCCAGCATGATGTCAACAGCTGAGAAACCCTCACGGAGCCCCAGACCATTCAGCACATAGCAAGCACTCGATAAGTAACTCTGGATGAAGACAGTGCTCTGAAATCCTGATCATCTCACATGCCTTCCTGAAGGCTTTGTTCCTCATTTATAGCAAAAGTAGTCTGTCTGCATTTGGGGGGGAAGAGCTGCTAAAAAAAAATCACATGTAACAAGCACGTGTGGCCGGTCCTGACACATGCATAGGAACACTGTGGCAAAGTGAAGTCACAATGTCCAGTGACATCAAACTCTATTATCCATGAGGAGGAGGGCAAAGCACTATGGCTGCTGCCATAGGACGACCCGGCCCGTCCGCTGATGCAGAAGAGCGAGTGGAGTGGAGTGGGCAGGCCTTTGGGGGCGCAGGAACTTCACAGTTCATTAGCTGCCTGCCCAACTCCTGGCCCGCTGCCACACCAGGTAAAGTCACAATTAAAATTCAGAGTTAATATGAAAATAAGTGGTCTGTTTTAGGCCTTTTCAGACAAGGTTCATTTGCTCTCCTTGCGCTGGGCAGCAAGGCACAGGGGGAATGTCACTAGGAGGGCTGTGTCTCAGCATCTATAGGTCGAGTCTGTCTCTGCCAGAGAATGGGGCCGGCCTGAGCCACACGCGTTCCTGTGCCAGGAGCCCACGGGGAGAGAGAGAAGCCTCCTCCTGGGAACGCAGGGGACGGGCAGCCCTGCGGACTACATCCCGGGTCTAATCAATGAAGAATTAATCTCGTCCACTCCAAGGCTGCCCCGTCTGCACTCCGGGCATTTTGATGGCACCCAAGCTCCGTACCCAGGAGTCTTGGGCTCCCAGCCTCCCAGTCTCTGTGTCCACGTCCCTCCTCTGAGAAATCAGAAACTAGACCAGGTGACTCACATAGCTCTTCACGCTCTCAATCCCACGACCCAGGGCGGCCTGGAAGATTTCACAGCGTGGGGACAACCGCTCAGCCTCTTGCTCAAGGCTTTTTGCTCAGGGCCCAGTGTCATCCACGGTGAATGTGCCCTAGCACCTGGAATCTCACACATTTCAGGTCTGGCCATTTTTCTAGCATGTTCTTATTATTTTTTGGCTACTTTCCCTGCTTTGCTCTCCTTACGATCTTTTGAGAACTTTCAGTCACGTGTTGGAGTTTCTGAAAGTCACTATAAGCATTTCATTTTTTTTCTCTTATTTTCCATTATTTTGCCTTCTTCCCACTTCCTAGGAGGTTTATCCCCCCCCCCAATTTTATCTTCCACATCTTATGTAGATTAAACCACGTTTTCTGCAACTGCACATTTGATTCCCAGGAGTTCCTGCTGGGGGATCCTTTGAGTCTCCAGAGCTCGTTGCTTCCCAGGTGAGGGCTGGGACGCAGCCCCATCCCATCTGGAGGCCCACGCTCCCCGGAAAGCTGTGTCCCCTCGGGAATGACATCCAGGCCACCCCAGTCCTTAATGCTCGTGAACCCTTTGGTCATCTCCACTTCCAAAATACAGACTTGGAATGCTCACATGGATTCTGATCTAGTTCTTTCATTAATTGATTCTTAAATAAGAATATATTCTTTTCCCACATCTGAATGAATCACAGAATAATAAAAGACACTTTATGCTTGCGGTCACATATTTTATCGCCAGCTGCAGACTCCAAAACTCCAGATGAGCTTGCAAGTCACATCGAGAGGGGATGGGGAAGTGAAAGCCCTTCCGTCCATCAGCATCTGTTGCCAAAGGCGCCGCAGCTAATGGGCTCTGTCACCCATGAAGAGTCAATAAATTTATGAGTTTACTCAGCCAGAAAAATGCTTGCTGGGAACCGCAGTGGTCATCTGACCAGGAATTTAATTCATAATTCCTGTCACTATACAGTTAATACCGGTTTGGAGGTGAAGTTCACACACAGAGAAGTTCTTGCTGACCGCAGGGATCGAGAACCGTAGGTGGCACTGGCAGCCACCCAGCACCACGGGGGCACTGGCACCTGGTGCAACACCGAATCCAGGTCAGTCCCTAAGGACGGAGTGGTTGGGCTGTGGGATACACAGTGCCCCACAGGCACAGCACAGCTGGTGACGTGTGCATTAATTAATTTGATTGTGATAATAATTGCACAGTGCATACATACATCGAATCATGTTGTACACCTTGAATGAAAAAGACTTATGCTTAGTCTAAATTGCCAAACTGACCTTCAGAAATGTTTACTACGAAAACATTAAACCTAAGAAAGCCCATTTTCCCATTTCTTTGCTAACACTGGCTATTATTGATCTTTGCCCATATGATTTTCTGTGCACACATGTAGCTGGTGAAATTAAATATCTTTTCAAATATCTCCTGACTAAACCACTTATTTCCTGAGTGTCCTGGGAGCCACCTGTCCCTGTCCTCCTTTCCCCAGCATCTTACGGAGCTCTTTTATAGGTTAAGAGCATCAACTCTTTCTCATGTGTGCTAGTGATTTTTCTATGTTTAATTGGCCTTTTAAGTCTAATTTTGATTAAAACAGTTTTCCTTGTTATTATTTTATTAAGCAGAATATAAATATAAACATATAAAATATAGACACCATTATTTTTGGTGTCTTTTTTGGAACCAAGCTCAAGACATCCTACCCAGTTCCAAGATAACACAAGCAATCACCAAAATTATCTTGTGTGATTCTCATGGCTTCATTTTCTTAAGTTTAAACTTTTAGTCTCCCTGGAATTTAAGGTAAGATGCTGGGAATTTAAAGTCACTTTTTTCCAAGTGGCTCCCCCTGTGTCCCACTTAGAGGCCAATAGTTGTCACTGCAGTGGAATTGTCTCAGCACTGCCCAGAGTCTATGGGAAGACAAACACATCATGGCCTTTTAATTTCAGAGGCGATTTCAGAGTCATCAGGGTTATGTGCTCACGCCAATCCTTCCTGGGGCACTTTAACTCTGCCACTGCGTGATCAGGCAAAGCTGCAGAGGTCTAGACTGTCTCAGAACCAAGCCTTGCTCACACCCTCCTTGTAGTAGCTCCTCTTCTACAGCCACAGCCGTGAGCTTTATGCACTCAGTTGTACTTTTCCAAAGACTGCTTAGTTCAGCTCAGTGGTAATTGAAATGTTTCTCAAGTAACTTACAATTTCATTTCATGATTTCTGAAGAGATGGTTGCTGCCATTAACCAGGTGCAGCTAATTTGCAATGAAGTAAGCAAGGAAGCCAAGGCCCCAGCCTGTGCCAGCAGCTCAGCATTTACATCACAAACGCTCATGTTAATGGTCTCTGCTGAAAGCTCTGCAGACTGAAGTGCCAAGAGATGCCCTTTCCTATATTCCAGACCTCTTTTTACAGATTTCTGTGCATATTCATTTGAAAGTATTTATTAAGCTACTACTACGATCCAGCCACTTGGCAAGGCCAGGGACAGAAGAATGAAACCTAGAAGATGTAGCACCTGCCTCAGGGCTGAGAAGCAGGTCTGGCAGCAGCTCCTGCACTGCAGGGCAGATATGTCAGGTGGAGTTGTGCTCGGGGGAGTCTCAGGGCAGGGGTGCACCCGGAGCATGCCCTCTAGGGAAGGAGGGCCCCTCACACACCTGCACCTGCCAGGAGGGCCCTTGCCCTTCTGTGCTGCGTGCACACCTCTGTCACTCCCACCAGCAGGGGCACCGAATCTTTAGTGCCATGTCTCCCATTAGAAATAAACTCTCCCAGGGCCTGGACTGAATTTCCCCATCTCTGAATTGCAAGGACCTGCAAGGACTGGTACATAGCAATAACAATAGTGATATTACTGTTGTTGTAAGAGGAGAGGAAGACTAGTAGCTTGTGTGCACGTGCATGCACATACACAAGCATACATGTGCACAAGCACATAGGCACACACACTCTGTGAGCGCTCAGATGCATGAACCAGGGGACAGATGGATGAATGAAACAGCAAGAGGCAAATCAGGTCCTACACAGATGCCCCGACCCAGACTTGATGGGCTTTTCCTAACAGCTAGGGGGTGCAAGGCCTGCAGAACACAGTGCCAACCCTGTGGCCGCACCTCCCTGACCAGACCGCCGACGCCCTGGGTAGGAGATCAGAACTCCAGGCCTGTGAAGTCAGGGAAGGCAAGGAGCCACAATAAGGAAGGATGACGGTAATAATGGAAACAAGGAAGAAAGGAAAACTCGTAACTTTCCAGACGCCATGGTGGAGAAAAGCTCAGAGGACAAGAAACTTCCGGTGTGTCTTCACATGTATGCGGCACGTGGGTGAAGCTGGGCTTCCATGTCCATGTGTCCTGAGACGGCAGCTTGGGCAGGAGGGTGGGGCGTCCTCCTGAGAGACAGGCACAAGGCGGGGTCTGAGCCAGGACACAGCAGCAGTGCATGGCGGCCCCAGGCCCCGAGGAGGCTGTGTTTGTTTGCACAAAAGTTTGCGAACGCCGTCGGCAAGCTCCGAGGCTTAGTTCAACCAGGATGACACGGGCTCTAGGTGCCCTCTCGGGGCAGGTCTGCACATCTACACCAGGCTCTGCGGTGACGTTTGAGTCGTGTATCACAAAAGCAGACAGGATTAAGAGGCTGTGCTGCAGGAGAATCGTGACAGAAGTGACAACGCTATCTTGTCTGGAGAGAAGACAGCGGGAGCCTCGCTCTGAACTGCCAGCCACCGCGACGGCAGAGCCGGGTTCTCCCTCGGCAGGGCTCCCCGGGATGACCGAGATGACCCTCTGCGAGATGACCTGCGAGATGACCCTCTGCCCCAGGTTCACCTGTCCTGTGGAATGGAGACTGTGCGTTATCGGGGCCCCCACACGCTTCCCACTGCCCCCCAACTCAGGGGCCAGGCAGGGGCTGTCTGCGGTGGGGCCTGCGTGGAGCCAGATGCAAGGGTGGAAGGGGCAGCATCCTCACCACCCTGAGTTCAGCAGTGGGGACTGTGGACACCGTGGCTGATACTGTCACCATGCTGAGGGCTGTGTCTCTCAGTGCTCTGCTGAGTCCGCTCCTGTAAAACTGCGTCTGCAGAAAGGCCAGGAGGTGGGTGCCACGTCAGGGCCCCGATCCCTCATGCCAAGGCTGTGTCCTGTACTGGTGGATTCTCCAAACGCCCCCACAGCGCTGGGAGACCCCATTGCCGACCCACATCCTCCCAGGTGCCCACCCGGCCCCTCCCTTGCAGCAGGCAAGAGCAGCTCTTCCACAAAAGCACCGCGGTCCCCTTGGCAAGGCTTTCAGTGCAGCTGAAGCTCTGAGCTCCAAAGTGCCGGTTGGCCCAGCTTCCAGGCAGAGCCACTCCCACCGGCCTGCGGCCCAGGCAGAGCCCGTGAGGTCCAGACTGTTCAAAGGCAGCTCCTTTCCCCAGGCCTCCGAGACTGAGCCTCATCAGAGGAGCTGCAGTTCACAGGGCCAGCTGGTGTGGCGAGACGAAAAGCACAGAGACCGGCTCGTCTGCTGGGAGGTGCGGCTGAAGGACAGGGCAGCCTGGCACGCACAGCGTGGCCTCCTGGATGCTCTCGGAGTTTGTCGCATTATTAAAATTCATACTCTGGTGACGTCTGTCTCATGTGAAAACATTGACCTGGTTTAGGAGGTCTAGGCTCAGCTCTGATACTACGGAGCAGCAGCATTAGGGATCTTACTTCCTGAGATGACAGGCATCGTGGTGGTGACTCCGCAGGGTGGCCCCCACAGTCCGTGAGCACGTCCCCTGGCGGTCATGCTGGGCTTGAGGCCCCGCTCCCAGAACAAACGTGTCATCAGAGATAGCACACGGGCTTGCCGTGTGGACACGGGCGCTCCGCAAACCGAGCTTCACTACGTGTGTCAGGCCAGACCACTTGGACCGCTGGCAACTGAACTAGTCAGGGTTTCTGCAGTCACTCAACAGTCTAACCAACTTTCAAGCCACATGTTTTGATGATACAAAGTAAAACGAGTGAAGTTAAAAAGACGGACAATTACAGAATCATATAAACTCAGAGATGGACTTGGAGTTCAAATCACTAACTCCTAAATTAATGCAAATGTTCTCCCTGTCATGCAGTTACCAGGTGGGGAGAAGTTTTAATCTTCATAGACACAGAGAAGCTCAGCGAGTGCAGCCCCTTCCTGCTGTCCTTTGACAGGTGAACTAGAGCACGTGGGGTGTCGGGGCCCTGTCACTCTTGGGAAGACGATGACGGCCTCTCCCAGGTATCTAACTTGGGCGGGGCAGGCTGTGGCTGAGGAGCAGACGGCAGCCTTGCCATAAAGAAAGCTGCAGCATCGCTCACGACACCAAAGACTGTAGGGCATACTCAAGTCTGGGGCTCCGTGGGACACGAGGGGGGACTTCCCCTGGGCGCATGGCCTCCGCCGCAGCCTACCCTCAGCTGAGATCCCGCCGCACTTTGTGATCGACCAGGTTGTGATGCAGAGAAAGCACTGACCTTCCTTGGCAATGACGCTTCCCAAACGGAGAATGCCCTCACACGCGTCCCACCCCTACGGCGCGGCGTCTGCTATATAAAGCATCCCCATGGATCATTACAGCCACATGGCCACCATGAGCACCACGGAAGACTCAACATGTTGGCACCGACCCTCTTCTCAAGAATCACATCTGTCCACATGGAGGAGATGGAGGAGGCCGTCCAGGGAGCTGAAGGGGCAGGAAGCCGCACTGAGCAAGTTCCTAACTGGGACGCCCAGTGGAGCTGCCTGGAGCCCATCCAGGAGGTGGATGGGTGGGCAAACACAGCAAGAGTGTGGCCCCCTTGCCCGTGAGATGGCGCCACTTAATGTTGACAAAACGCGCATCTTGGTAAAGGGAACAGTGTCCCACCACTGCCCTTGTGGGCATAAGTGTCCCCAGGAGACACAGCTAGCCTGGGTTTGGTCTCCACAGAGACATCTCTGTGCCCCACAGTGCTGCTCCCACGAGTGTGCCCCACAGTGCTTGTGCAGGACCACAAATGCTGACAGAATGAGGATACCCAGCGGGTCTCTCTGCCCAGACTTCCCCCTGGGAGATTGCTCTTCCACACTGCAGCAGATTTTCACACACAAACCTGTTCCTAACTCTCTGCCACTTTACTCGCTCTGCCAGCTGCACACCACTAGAACTGTTTCTCAAAGTGCAGCCTGGGTCCCAGCGTTGGTACCCCAGGGGCGTGTGGGCTCTCAGGCCACCCCAGAACCCTGGACCAGAGAAGGGGCCCAGAAGCCTCCTGACCCGTGGGGGATCCTCAGGCCCATGGCAGCCCAAGAACCCCTAGACCCCAGGAGAGCTCTGAAGGCACAGTTGACCACGTGGTCTGTGGGCTCCTGCTGTCACTCTGGCTCCTGCACCACTCTGCCCGTGCAGGCTCTGGACGGTTTCCCGAACACGCCCTGGTGCGTCCCCTGCAAGCCACCACAGACGCAGTCCCCACTGTCTGGAATGCTCTGCCTTCCCTTCAGGGAGCCCCATGCCTTCTGCTCAAGTGCCACTCAAGGCCTGAATGTGTCCCAGGACTCCCTCCTTGACTCCTTCCCTTCTGCCGGGTTTTCTACTCCAAAGTGAAGCCATGAGGAAAATGACACAGAGTCAAAGTCACTTTGTAAACCCCTCTCCTGCTGCTTGACACACGGTATCCAAAAGTAATTTAGACACAAACAGAGAATAGAGGGAGATTCAGACACGGATACAATGTAGATGTAGATACATACATGACACAGGCATGATACATGCATGACTCAAACATGATACAGACATCATACAGGCAGGATTCTCTAGGAGTCTCCTCTGGGAGACGGAGAGAAGGCAGGTGGGAAAACTTTAATAAATGTCAAATTTAATTGAGTGGTGTTTCATATTTAGTGGTTTATATTTATTCATGATATATTTTGAATAAAAATTGTAAAAAATGCCACTAACTCAAAGTTTTCAGTAAGTCACCAGCACGTGAGCCCCAGCAGATGGTCACTACAACTTGTTTTTAATTGCAGGAATGGTGATCGCAGAAGCACACTTCCTGCGGGCCCTGGGTGTGGGCTGGTCCCACCGCCCACCGGCCATGTCCCCGGCCACATCCCCGGGCAGGTACACCTCCCAGCGTGGGCCGCAGGCACCTCTCCTGCAAGGCCAGAAGCAGCACTGAGTGCTGATGTGCAGCACTGAAATGCAGGGTCTGCCTCTGCGAGAACCTCCTCCCTGTTCTCCCTGGCTTCCATCTCCAGAGAAAACTGGTGCGTGGAAAACATTCCTTTCTGTCCCTTAGCTCTTTGCTGCCGGACTCTTGGGCTGTTTCTTCACCTAGAAATACAGATTCTAGACATAAAGCCCCTCTTTTCAGGTTAGGGTGACACAGGATACACTTAGGATATCAGAAAAATGTGGGCTTATCACCTTCCCTTCCTAAACGGCAACGACACGAGAGCTAAATCTCCCAGGTTGGGGCCCTGAGATAGCCTGTTGGCGATGATTTATTTACCACAAATTTCAACAACCACTTTTATTACTGTCAAATTTCAGAAAACACAAAAGATCTTTAAATTCCTTCTTTTCCAATCAAGCCATGGGGAATGAGAGAATAAGAGTGCTCGGTGGAAGAGATTTCCAATTACAGAAGCCACAAACCACCACTGAATATTAATCATGCTGGCCCGCACGGTCACTCTGGGCAGAGCAGCAGCTGCGCCATCACCCTCCTTTGCGTTCCCCGTGTCACGGTCCAGGGTGTGCAGACTCCTGCCGGCTGCCCACGGCTCCGAGGCCCCTCTCTGGTGCAGATGCCATCCTCGAGAAGGCGGGACCTGCAGGGTCCACTCTGGGGCGTTAGTGAGCAACCACGGATGGAGGCCATGACAAAGACTCATTGCAGAAGAGAACACTATTTTAGTTCCAGTCAACGCCCATCTGAAAATTGCCTATTAGCTGCTGGCACTGTTCCTGGGCGCAGGACAGAAAGCAACAGGAAAATATATTTATTCTCTCCCCTGCGGAGCTGATACATGAATTAGGGAGACAAGAAATGCACATGAAACGATTTATGAAAAATAAAACAAGACAGGAGAGACATAGACCCAGCTTGGGCTCCCTGTGGGTGAATTAGGACCGGAAACCCTCCCCCCCAAAAAGTCTGAGTCTCCATCATGACCATCCCCAAGATGGTGCACATCTCACTCATTATGTATGTATATACCACCTCCCTCCCGTCCCACTGCCAATACCCTATTACTGTAGTACCTATGTGTCCCTTAGGTGAGCTCTAAGTTACTACCAGTTTGCCTGGAGATTGATTGGTGGGCTTGTTTTTCCCATTCTTGGGTACTATCACTTAGTATGTATGGTTCCAGCCTCTAAACAGGGAACAATATAAGATGTGTCTATTCACCATTGGTTTCTTAGAGCTGAACATAGTATCCATGGTATAATATACCACATTTTATTAATCCTATCTTGGAATTGAATGGGCACTTGGGCTCCGTTTCCACAGCTTGCAATTTAATGAATTGTGCTGCTATAACATTCGAGTGCAGGTGTTTTTTTTGTAGAGTGATCACTGGATATCTTTGGGTAGTGCGCAGAAATGGGATTGCTGGTCAAATGGTAGATTCGTTGTATCGCTTGAAGGTATTCTCATATTGATTTCCAGAGGTTGAACTAGTTTGCAGTCCACCAGCAGTGTAGGAGTGTTCCTCCTCTCTCCGCAACCACGCCAGCATTTATTGTTTGGAGATTTTTGATAAAGGCCATTCTCACTGGGGTTAAGTGATATCTCATTGTGGTTTTGATTTGCATTTCCCTGATGATTAGAATGTTGAGCA